AGTATATCTTTAATAACAGTTAAGACAACTACTGTACATTGGTATAGAAATCCCAATATACGTCCTTAACGAAGTACCTAGTCGGATTTATCATTAAAAATGTCGCATCAGCTAATGCTGAGGCATGGTCCTGGTTAGCCATGAGATTTTTTAATTTGTATCTGTAAATCTGTAAATGAGGGTAATTATAATGTATATTTTATTCTTTTAAATTCCTTTTTGAATCTATCGGAAGTCATTATCACCTAAAAGTCTGCTTAAGCCAATTTGACTGTAAGGGTTCTGTAACATGTACTTAATTTTAAGGCTTGAACTAATACAATTTATTGACATTAGGGATTTCTTGATATTCCTGATGGCCCATGGTAAAATCTTTAATTAATTAATGGTACGTATGGACGTTTTGTGCAGAAATTTCCTAGAGAAGGCCTATGCCTAGCATTGGAATGGATGTCCATCGACTAATATCAGGACCGGATTTAGGGCTTCGTTGCCCCAAGGCCTCCACACCTGTCCTGACTGATGTTGTTCTTTCTGTCTTTTTTTCAGATGACTTAGGCCGTGCGGTCGAAGAACTTGTGTCAGTGATGACAGAGGAGCAACCCACCAATGCCCCACCGCAGTACACCAACGGGAAGCCGGCCAACAACGAGTAGACATCGAGTACTTGGTGCTGCCAGTTGCCACTCTAGGCAAACATTCGATATTCACTCTAGCAACACTGTCGATGGAGAACGGTTTACGCTTTGACTCGAGGAGCTTGCAAAAGTTTGCCTACTGCCTGCACTAACTCGAAACTAAGCACTATTAAATTATGTTTAGGTAAGTTAGTAATGAGGTTATTGTAGTGAGTTCAGGCAATTTGCATTCGATTGTAAGCTTCCTCGCGATGGACATAGGATCGTTTTTCCTGTTCACTGTCGCCACTACCCGTTAGTGGCGCGATGTGATCTAATTATAATAATACAAAATGTATAGTTGATAAATTATTATTAGCGATTCTATGTCCACCGATACTGTTTACTAATTTTCGACTCGTCACTAACAAAACCTGCACTGTATAAACCTTATTATACAAAAGCATTCTAACATTCCATTCACAGAAATTACTGAGAAGACTTGTTGTACAACCTTTGGGTGTCGGTTTTCTATATGGGAGGCTGAAGGGATAGGCTAAATAGAACTAACCTTTCGAAACAGGATTTAGTTCATGATAGCTGCCGGTATAAAGACGATAATCGTATGCAACGCTTATTGTATAAATAAGGCACATTGTTGCAGTACGTATCGTGATTGAGTCGCTTTTTCTTTACTGTTTCTTTTTGTGATTTTTTCACGCGAGCAACACTTAATAGTACTACTATTTTTAACAGCGACAACTTCGACAGTGTTACCAGAACGAAAAACTCAACGAAAAAGACAGCTAACAAGCATTTATATTAAAAAAAAAAACTGTACCAAATTATACTTGATACTAACACTTATGTTAAGTACATATCTTTTAGTACAATCTCCATTATACTATCATATCACTTCTTGTAAATTTCCATATCATTTTTATGCTGTGTATAAACTGGCACGTGTATTATAAATGTCACGATAAAACGCAAGTCAGTCATTGGTTTAGTTGAAATCCAGGAAAAAAATTGGTGACCAACTCTGCTGTCATGTTAGGAAATGACTCCTAAGCATTTCAGCTTTTCAACTGATGATGAAATGCCGATTTAAAACATGTAAAGTGATGTAGTCATCTTCCATAACATATGTCACTTATAAGGCAAACTTACAGCCGAAGCTTTAAATAGCAAATGTTAGCTTTAAACCCTGTTTTGAGACGTTTTTACGCAATTATATCAAGAATACAAGAGGACGGGGGCCTAAGTTTTAGTGGAAACTGTTAAACTTAGATATATTCAGTCTTCAACATACAATATTGTATGCCATGGTGTAATGGCTGTAGTTAAAAAAATCGTTAAACAGTTTCTGATGTAGAAGTAGTTGTAGCGAAATCGAATATCAGGCATGTTATTCATATGCATGTTTGTGTATTAACTTAATATCGCGTTATGAAAAAAAATGTATCTTTAGTGGAAAACATATGACTAATCGAGCTGCTTCTAAGAGCATAGTGTTGGTTCCTTCTGTTGAAATGTTTCGGACTGTCAAATAGGAAATTCTTCTTAGTGACTATGAGAAAATTTAACCAAACCTTTTCACTATTACAAATGGCATGACGACACGTTTTTATTTAGGCGAATGTGACGATTTTTATGTCCCGTTCATATATTTCGAAGATTTGTAACGTGTGTCTAAAAGTAAAATGCTGCCTACATTTTATAGTTAAGAATATATTGGAGAGATGACTTTTATACGAATGTTAAGTAATCTGTTGACGCTAACCTTAAATTTAAGGACTTCCGGTTTAACCTTATCATGGTTTTAAGTATACTTTTTTTATTTTTTGTCGCCGAGGTGTACTGGGTTATTTAAGACTAAGAATGTTGTATCATTTTTTATTATTTTTTTCCATTGGCAACACCGTTATTATGTACAACTCGCGACTATACTTAATATGTTTATTATTAATTTGGCTAATATAGTATATAAGAAAAAAAAGCACAATTATTATTTTAACGAAGAATGAGAAAATAAATTTACACTAATATAATATTATTGTTAATAATTTTATTTTATTTTGTTTAATGACTAAGTAGCTAGTTTTGTTTCGAAATTCATTATTTTTAATATTGGCATCTTTATAAAATATATAACTACTTCAGCATTTATTTGATTATTTTACTGTGTTTATAATGTTTTAGAAGTTAATAAAATCCAAATAAACATTCAAGCATAGTATCGATTAGTTTTATTGCTTCATCCATACCCACTATGTAGACCCAATGCAGATTGGTAAAGACTGCAGATGCAACCTGGACCAACGGCTTAATGTGCCTTATGAAGCACCTCGAAATATTTTCATACCCTGTGAAGTGCCGCAATGAAACTTCAACCACTTATACAGCATTAGTCGAATGTTTGTAGACCGGGCTATTGATAGACTTACAGACCTCTGTCTGTGACAGAAAAAGATCTGGCCGTCCGTTCGTACCAGAAAAAGGCGATCGAAGCAGTGAAAAAGATTATACCTCGGGAAATGTATACAGCACCTAGAACCATGTCGCCTATTTTAAAAGATGGCTTATAGGGTATGGCTCATAGGGGAGACAAGCGGGAAATTTTTGTTTTTTTTTGGCAAGGTAGGCACATGACTACCCCACCTGATGTTACGTGGTGATAAAGTCCAAATGCGAAGATAACTGGTACAGCAGTTATAAACTGCCACACCAACCACCCCTCACCTTGCTGGCCTGCAATAATGCTTCTTCACGCCTCTCTTTAAAGAACCGCAGATTATATAGGAAGGGGGCAACACGTGCGCGGGCAAAGAATTCCACTTGCGAATAGTACGACAAAGAAATGAGTCACAAAATTTTTTTGTTCGTGTACGAATAATGGCCACAGTAAATCGGTGATAAAGTGGGCCAGCGCACGTGATCCTCTGAAGAAAAGGTGATGGAGGGATAAGGGAGAATAACTCCTCAGAACACTCGCCGTGGTAGGTATAGTCGGTAGAATGCGCTTAATGATGCCTCATCGCGGCGTAATCGTAGACTCGAGATTTTTAGTTACCTCTTCATCGCCAATAATGCGGACAGCGCGTCGCAACCTATCCAAGGCATCGAGTAAGTACTTAGCGGAGCCATCCCAGAGGTGCGAGAAATATTCCGCACTTGCGTTTCGTACAACAAACAGTTGATCAGGCGTGAAAAACCACCGCACCTTGTCCAGGACTCCGAGTATGCATGGAGTAGTAATACTATCCTAATACAATCTTTAATCCTATCCTATCGGCCGTAACTTTTGGTCGCGTCCAAATCTTCAGACTTTTGAATAGGAGCTAATGGAGGATTTGCGCAGGTAACATCCTTTCTCAATGTCTAACGCACTCGATTTTTTTCCTATATTATTCTACCCCTTTGTACGATCACCCTTAAACCATGAAAACAGGCAGATCAATATTTTTTCCGTTCTTAGAAAGTTACGTGAACTCTAATAGGTTCTGTTAAAAAAATAATGACGATTTGGAAGGGACCAAAGGTCATAGCCGTTTTTCAAACATTTTTGCCTTAGTGTTGCCGCACACGGGCCACACACCACAGCCGCAAACGCCGCCACGAGAAGCTAGAAGCGGCTACTAAAGTGGCTGAAGCGCGCGACAGCGGCCGACTAAGGCAAGGGAGAGAGGGGTGGGGAATCGCGCGAGTGACGCGTGGCAGCGTTTTGTATCGGCGACAAGAAGCGAGCAACGACGATTTGTAGCGTCTATTTTTCCTTTAATTATGAATGAATGACAATGAATGTTGGCCGGGCTTTACCCTTCGCGAGCGTAGGCAAATGCTACCGTTTAGACTAGATGTTGGGCAAGTGTGAAAGCCAGTGCAAGTGGCCTATATAGACGAGCATTATGGAGCTGCCCATACATATTACGGACAAATATTGGCGAGCATCAGCCAGTGCCGACAACCGACGCCAAATGAGGTCTATACACGTTGGCGCTTCCCTTTACTCCGCAAATTAGGCAAGCAACACCGAGCGACAACAAGGCAAGACGAATATGCTGTCTATACGTTGGTATTTGCTTTTGCTTGGCCAACCTAAGTATATAATTTTGACGACTTCTGTGGCGGAGTGGTTTGTACGCCGGGTTTCATGGTGTCAACGACTGGAGAGCTCCGGGGTTCGAATTCCAGTGGGGGCAGATGTTTGTGTGATGAATACGAGTTTGTTTTTATACTGTTTATTAGTTAGTCATGGATGTTTCATATGTATTTCTAAATAAATATACTTATATATGTACTGTATATGTATTCTATCCGTTACCCTAGTATCCCATAACACAAGCCTTGTGCAACAGTGCTTTCTTTGGGGCTAGGCTAATTGGTGTGAGTGTTAGAAATACTTATTTATTTAAGTAATTAAAAGACAGGAAATATTTTATGCATTTGGTATAATAGTATTTACTTATAAGTTATAACATAAAGTTATTTAATTATCTATAATATCATCAACATTTCAGTTTTCCATAAGGCACAGTTAATATAACATTGCATTAAGCTTTAAGGAATCTAAAATCTTCAGTCAGCAGCTTTGTAAGTAAACAAATAATGGGTCTTTCAAATAGGAATGCAGAGTGAGACTTTAAGAGGCATTTTTTATTGATGTTACATGTGACTACTCTTGGGTAATGTGTTGCATTCTTCTTAAAAAAATTGTACTAGAAACATTTCTAAGCAGCAGGTAAGATTTTTCTTCTGTCTATAATAGCTCAACTGTAATTTTCCCACAATTCTGCCAATTTCACATAACTAGCTACCGAGCCTACTGATTCTTAGTAAAAAAAATTGTGAAAATACAAGTTAAAAACGGCTATTTTAGATTATTGTCACTTCCCATGTTGATTAAACGAACAACACCTGGTGTTAGTAGGTATAAAAAGCAAACACTTATTATTTTCGAATACCACATAGAAAGGAAATTAAATATTCATTAATTAGAATAGAAATCCCTTCAACACATGTATTAACCAACACCACTTTATAGATTTAAGCAGTACGCAGCGTTTTAACACTAAGTTATGTTCCTTGAATGAAGGCAATAGCCTAGTCATGCATTCAATTAAGCTTAATAATTTTAAGATGACCACATTCACTGACTATTAGGCAGCAGGAATGTTTGCCGGGTCAGCTAGTGTGTTATGTTTGTAGACTAGGTTTCTGTCAACTGACTGGTAAGGTCAACTAATGCTAACGACAAGGCAGCACTACATACTACATAATGATCACTCATTCAGGCACAAATGCTGTACATATACATTTTAGTAAAATGTTACTAAATAGCCAACAACAGAATAGATAATGATCTTAAGTAATATGGTAACCTAGTGAAACATTAAGAATCAACGGTCTCACAAAGACAATGCTTTAACCTCTTATCGTTTATGCCTCCATCTCCAGACAATTTATTTTTGGCACAGATGAACATTCCGGCATGCAAAGGTTAAGTTAATAAAATGATATTTCACTATATAAAGGCATACATGGACAACTGTGTGATACAGAAAAGAGAAACAACACAGTAAGGCACTTAATGTCAAAGTAAAGCATACCCCCATGCTTTATGTATATAACCATTATGTGAATTTCAAAACTTTATTATCTAATGATAAGGATTGTGCATCCTTATTGAAAGACCCTCTTTTATATTAATAACTTCTGCAATCTTATCACAAACTAATCAGAACATTTGGACTCCTATATTAAGAAGGCAGAGGCTTAGACTAGAAACACAAGGTTTCTGTCACATTTATAGTATGTGAACCAAAACAAACTGCCAAGTCCAAAACTTTTCTTTGTATTAATAAGTAGGCATTGAGACAGATAAATGCTTAGCAAATTATTGCTATCCATAAAGTCATTGTCTTTAGCTTCATGTCCGAGTAAATAACATAAGCTTTTATCATAAATAATTTGTTTTATGCTAAAGTAGTTATTTAGTTTTGTTCTTGCTTGAAACTCGCAGTTATCGTGTAAATATGCATTATCTTGTTAGATTTATATTACTTGCTAAATGTTTCTCAAAGAAACCTGAATTTGTAACTTTGTTATTCACTCTGGCAAAAGAAGTATTGGTGCATGCATACATACATAAGACAGTTCTTTATGAATTGTGTTAAACACCTGAAAATACATATAATAAACTTTAAACTATTCTGTTATGAATACGGAAACCCAGTAAATCATTACGGTTGATTTACTGGGTTTTGTTGTCATTTGACAACAAAATGACCACTCATCACAATATGAACACTAATTGTCTTTTCTTTTTATAAATAAGTGAAATTAAGAGGTAGAAATTTCTGGTAGGATTTTAAAGTATGTATATGTAAGTATGCACTTTATGAGTCAGTTTGTAATTGTAAAAGGTTCTAGTCATTCTCACTTGGATCCTACATGTATCATAGATCCACTTTTGACATCCAGACCATTCGCTATTGGAACATCAGTGCGCTTCCTCCGGAAGAGCAGTACGTGAGGCTCTGGATTGTGGACCATGAAATGCAGCCATCCAGGACTCTGCTGGACACCAAGGTTCCTCCACTCAGTTTCTGTCATAAGGTGAGACTTTGGAACCAATCTTGCGATGTCTGGTGGTAATATGACATGCCTGCAAAATTTTAAATTACGAATAACTTTTTTGAGTTAGATGATGAGACACAATACATTGCCAAAATCTTATATGTAAATAATATGTTATTCTTTATATACAATGATGGGTGCAACATTGAAAATGATTATGAAATAATAATTTAAAAGTTTGTGACAGCTGGTACAATCCGTGTCTTTCTTCAGTGTTCAGAAAAGCACGAAATCGACTAGATTAATAATTTCTTGAAATGCGAAAACAGATTATTTTATTTTATTAACAGTTTAATTATTAAACAGCATAATAAATAAGTTTTTCTATGTGATAAATTACCTGTATTCATAAACGTCATCAGTATACCTTTCGGAATATTGAATCTGGTCAACTGGCATTTTTTGCTGCTTCTTTAAAATCAATATTGAAGTAAAACTTAACTAAACTAGCGCAACTTATGTGCTTAGCGCATCGTTATTCATTCACGAAATTGGAATAATTAATTTGAGCAAAACGACCAAAATGTTTTTTCACGGCACAGAGTACAGATGGAGCACAGCTGACTGCAGGCAGAGAGAGAGAGAATAGAAGAGAGAGCGATATGGCTAGCTTATTTATGGATGTAAAAAACGATTTATCTATTTTTTATACTAATCGATTAATTACAATATCTTTGCCTATTAAAAATAATCAATTTGTTAATATGAATTAAGTAGGCTTACATTTGTAGGCCGGCGCCAAGTTTGAAAAATATTGAATGCCAGAAATAATTATATTGATAAATATTTTTATTTGTATTGTTTTTTTTATTTCAAATAAATTTTTAACTACAGTATGGTGTCGATTCTGGCACGATTCTCTAAATCTAAACTTAAATTTGACAACAGTGGTTGCTTTCCAATTACAGCCTTATAGCGCATTATGCGGCATAATGCTTAACGTTGAGTGTTCCAACAACAGCAACGCTTCGCACAATTGAGCACTCTCAAAAGTGATGCTTTCGTGTGATGAGTGCAATGGTACCAACTTAGAGACAGAAAATTAACAAGTGTTTTTTCTTTAAGTTGGCATTGATCGAAATGTTTTATTTATATGTTATCGTTAGTAATATTATTTATTGTTGAAAAATTATTAAAGCTTTCGTTTCATTAAATAGTTTTTTTTAAATAATCAAAGTTCATTCAAACTGTTAAAAAATAAATATAAGTATGGATGAAGGTACAAACATTGACTTTTTTTTCAACACTGAACTTAGCGCACTCTGCTGGTGCATTTGAAAACTAATTCACGTTCCAATTAAGCATCAGCATAATTGGGCATTGCGCGACACTGAGTCGCATTATGCTCTGTAATTGGAAAGCATACAGTGTATCCTTGTCATTCTCTATACAGAATGAAAAGAAGAGACTGATGTAAATTTTAGTTTTAAGTTTAGAGAATCATGCCAGAATCGACACCATTGACTATACCATACCTCGAGAATATTGTTAATCTGGTATACCTAATCCAAACCCAACCATTACAGGTTCAAAAAAAAATGGTTGCCTGTAAAGTCGGTTTTACGGGCGAAGATTTTACGTGACAACGTCTTTTTCTCGGTAGAATATTTATTGATATGAATATAATTAAATTGCACAACAGGAACAAGGAATTGCACAAATTTTAACTATAGAAATATATTTTGTTTACTAAAACATTGTACATGTAAACTTAAACTCATCGTAACGTTACCGAGCGTTACACTTTTTCATAAGTGACTCCCAGCCGCAACCTAATTTAAGACGTTGTCACGTCAAAAACGACGAAGCGCTTCGAGAAAAGGTAGGTAGGACGAGAGCCAAGCGAAGTGCAGGGGCACTTCTTATATATATATTATAGTTATCACGGTAGTGTTTCCGCCTCTTGGGCTCCCGGATAGGCTTTTCGTTGTATTTAGGCGTCAGGTAGTATGTGTAGCAATTTCAGCTAGAGCCAACTCAATAACAATTTATATTTAATCCAAACAAAAACCCAAAGTTTTTTTGTTTTCTAATTAAAAATATTTGGTACATGATTACCAAAAAAATTGAATCTCGAGAACTACAATTGGTAACCTAACCTAACCTTTATTCGACGACCTCCGTGGCCGAGGGGTTTGTACGCCGGGTTTCATGGTGTCGCCTACTCGAGAGGTCCCGGGTTCGAATCCCGGTGGGGGCAGATGTTTGTGTGATGAATACGAGCATTTGTACTCCAGTCGTGGATGTTAAATATGTATTTCTATATAAATATACTTATATATGTACAGTATATGTATTCTTATCCGTTACCCTAGTATCCCATAACACAAGCCTTACAGTGCTTACTTTGGGGCTAGGCTAATTGGTGTGTGTTGGAATTTTTTTTTTTTTATTTACTTTTTTTTTATTAACCAATAATATTATTTTTATGTGATTTGTAAATTATTTTATTTTATTATTTTTTTGAGGACCATTGAATAATATTTCCCAAACTGTTTTAAGTTAATATTATATTAGCCTATTGAAAATGAATCAAAGCACTCTTTTCATGCTCACTTTTACCAAAAATCGATTCTTTATCGATTTTAATCAAATCAAAAAGGTTTTTTTTACGTTCATCGCATGCCTACACTGAGTGCTACATGTACATACACTGCGACCAAGATCCTGTGGCACGAAGACAGAGAATTACGAGAATCCATTCTCTGTTGCCGTGGCCCAAATCCGAACTAATTTTGGGAAGGTTTAATATGCCTTTTATTTATAGAGAAAGGTGGTGTAAATAAGCCTTTTATATGTCCTCTTTTCGAGTTATTGCAAATAATAACTCTCTCTTTAGTGTACACACATTTTTTTTTTTTATAGATAGTTCCGACAAATGACTTCACCCCACCTGATGTTAAGTGAAGGTGAAGTCCAGACGCGAAGATAGCTGATACAGCAGTTCTACCTGCCACACCATCATCCTCACCCTGCCGGCCTGCATGTTGCTTCTTCACGCCTCTTTTAAAGGATCCCAGGTTGTAAGAGGGAGGGAACACGTGAGCGGGCAGAGCATTCCATTTACGGATAGTGCGACAAAGAAATGAGTCACCAAATTTCTTTGTACGCGTTGGAATTGTGGCCACAGTTAGACGATGACAACGTAGGCCAGCGCGCGTGGTCCTTTGAAGGAAAGGGGAAGGTGGGATAAGAGAGAATAACTCCTCAGAACACTCGCCGTGGTACAAACGATAGAGTAACGCCACGTCACGGCGTAATTGAAGAGGCTCAAGGTGTTTAGTCACCTCCTCATCGCCTATGATACGGATCGCGCGCCGCTGTAACTTATCCAAAGCATCGAGCAAGTACTTGGCGGAGCCATCCCAGAGGTGCGAGCACGCAGGACCGCACTTGCGTTTTGTACAACAAGCACAGTTGATCGGGCGTGAAAAAACGCCGCACCTTGTTCAGGACTCCGAGTTTGCGTGAAGCTGTTTTGATCACGGTTTCGATGTAGTCCTTTGGATTCAGGTCTGAGCGAACTTCCATACCGAGCATGGAAATGTTGCTCTGCAGCGGTAGTGTTGTGCCCTGAAGAGATGGAAGGGGAAGGAATGGCGATGTTTTTGCCGTGAAAGCGCAAGCCTGAGTTTTCTTGGCATTGAACTCAACCAAGTTCCTGGTACCCCATTCGGAAATGTGGTCCAAAGCCTGATTGAGCTCAATGACAAGATTTTCCCGTTTCTCCTTGGTTACTGCCTGCCCAGCCGCTGCTTGTCCGAGATACCCCGCATGCACTGTACTGTCGTCTGCATAGCAATGAATATTCCCAAGAGGAATTAAGTCATTGATATGCAGCAGAAAGAGAGTGGGGGATAGGACGGAGCCCTGGGGAACGCCGGCATTCACTGACATGAACCGCGAACTGCTACCATCCGTAAGGACACGAATTCTACGCTCATGCAGGAAGTCAGCTACCCAAGAACAGAACTGGGCTGGCAGACCGTATGCCGGAAGCTTGGAGAGAAGGCTTTTGTGCCAGACCCTGTCGAACGCCTTGGCAATGTCAAGGCTGATAGCCAACGACTCGCCACGCTTGTCGATAGCCCCACCCCAGATATGAGTTAAGTACGCTAGAAGATCACCCGTCGATCATTTCGGTCTAAATCCATATTGACGATCATTAATCAGGGAGTGATCCTCTAGGTAGTGGGTCAGATGGTTATTAAGGACCTTTTCTAGAACTCTACATAAAACTGAAGTGACTGCTATTGGCACAAATAAATAAAAACACACAAAGGGCTTTTAGTCTCTTAGTCTCGAAAAACGTGAAATATTTACACATTGTAGCGGATTGTAGTCGCGCCGAGAGAGCAGTGTCTCAATATGTATTGTGGCAGTGTCAGTGTGCCCGACTGAATGCAAGTCGAGCAATTTACCCGTGTTTCATATTGCCAAATTAGGCGCGTGTATGACGTTCTATAGCTATAAAACATCATTGGTTTGACCCATTTAGAATAGACGGTAAGGATACCTTCGTGGCTTGGATTGGTATTACTTCACTTCTACTGTTGGATACCTACACCCCATCTCCCCACCCCGTTGAGCGTAGGAACTTTACTCACTAAGCGAAACACACCACTACCAAAAGAGAGCATTACTACACTGCGCACTTGGAAACGGTCGTGCGCCACTGTGCAGTGAGAATTATTCACGTCTCACACGGCAACAGCCGTTGTGTGATAGCTATGAGTGCCAAACAACTCATAGTTAATGATTTGTTGGCGTTTATCCAAAACGCCATTGACACTATGGATAAGGTCAGCATCCTGCAGATCTGCAAGTCGAACTTCAAGGAGGATGAGGTTTGCAGTGGCAAGGTGCTGTTGTTCCGGTCTGTCGGGAAGGCTGACAAGATGCCATCACGACGGAGAGATGGTACTGAGAAGAGTGTGCAAGACATTGCCTAATCTGCACCTTCGCCTTTTACACTATTGTCGTAAATATGCTCACACTCACAACAGATGGCGCTGTCGAAGTTTCTACATTGCGCTATGGTTTGGTATCATCATCACCCTGCTGAAGGAAACCGATTTAGACGACGTGCCTGCCTATATTCGTGACAAAGGAGCCGCACAAGCTGCCCCCCGTCATGTTCGACCACGTCGACTTCACCAGGCTGTTGAAGGATATTAACTTCCTGAAAGCAAGCTTGGCCGATGTAGTAAACAAGTTAGAGAACTAAGACAACACCATCGGTGAGTTGCGGGCTCAGTAGCGTTATTCAGTAACGCTGCCGGTGCAAGTAGGTCACCCGAGGCCTCTACGTGAACACACGTCGCGGGGCACAAAATGCATCCGTGTCGGCAGTTTATGGTGTATTCCGAAATATAAACCAGTACGCTGGCCAGTGGTAATGAAGTCATGATTTCGACGCCATATTGACAACAATACTACTACACCAGTGCAATATGGCGTCGAAATCATGACGTCATGGTGTTTGATTCGGAATACACCCATAGAATCGGTGCCTACGAGTGCGTTACGGCGCGCGGTTCCCCCCTGCAATTTGTGGGAGTG